ATTAATTAATGTTTATTTATGCAACAGTGGCTGGTGGTCCTGTTGTGCTAGTTCCTATATAAATGAAAAGATGGTCTTTGCACCAAAGAGATTACAGTAAGGAGAGACACCAGATGGTACAACATACAACTGGGGGAAACAAAATGCAAAAGTAATCCTGCCTCTTCAATATCTTCTATGCAACCTCTAACATGAGCACATCCTCTTGCCCTGTTCTCTATCTTCTCCCTCCTTTAAGTGGAGGGTTTCCAAAAGCCTATTAATGCCAGTGTCTCCTCTGTAAACTTCAGGTGAAGGGAAAAAAGAATAAAACAAGTGGAATAGAGACAACCCTTGCTGACCATTGCCACTAGCTTCCCATGAAAATGTCTTTTACTTCCAGTAAGAATGTCTAAAGCTTTCTGAATTCACAAAAGCCAGAAATACACACACATCCCTAAAGTCACTACCATAATGGAATCATGATACTGTGACCAGTAGAGTATCATTCTGTGCAATTCTTGGACATGAATTGACTCTGTACAGAGGACAGTTGGTCCTTGTCTCATCCTGTTATACCTAGTTATTGCAGAATTTACAGTATATTGCATAGTGTCAAAAAGTGACTTGAAATCACCTGTATGACTTAAGCATAATTAAATAGGGGGGAGGAGAGGATAGAGAAAACCTACATTAATTTCTGATGTTTTTGCATCTGTGTTACATAGTTGTGGCAACTGAAATGAGTACATTTGACCATTTTGCACTAAGAATAGTGGTCTGCAAAAGACCTCAGTATAGCAATGTAAATTTAAAAAACTTCCATGAAAATACACTAAAATCCTTACATAAATATTTTTCTCATTGTAAGCTGCTACTTCTGATGTCATTGTGTATTTCTTTTAAGAAAGGATAAAATTGTAATTATCCCTCCAGAGCCATTGGGATCCATCACCTAACATGGGTGCTGGAACCACGTTTATAGTGTTGGTGCAGAGAGCCATTGAATAAATGTATGAACCCTGTATATGATAGCAACCCCTTTAAATTAGTGGGTGCTGCCACACTTCCAGCATCTCTAGTTCCAGCATCTATGTCAGCTAATGCATATTTGCATTTTAAACAATACCAATAGATCATTGAACTTATGGGCCATAATGCTGCTTTGGTTATTTTATAGATGTACAGGAAAGGACTTTCAAAAATATATATTAATTACTGACCTGACTGGCTGAATGTTGCTCTAATGTTGTGCATGGTCTATATATAAATCCTCCTTATTTTGTGAGCCCCTGACATAATGGAGGATAACAAGATAGGAGTTTATAATAGAAAAGCTGACACGTCCTTATCAATAGATGCACAAATGGTTCTGCTATAATTATACTTTATAACTAGTGCACCACTAGATAAGTTGCTCGTTTTTAATCATATTAATCAGTGCTTGGATGATTCAACTGCCACCATGTAGTCTGCACTGTAAAAATGAGAGGACTGCCAAGCCTTAAATATTGTATCTGTTGTGAAACATAAAAATATTCCCAAACACTTCAGTGCAAGCATATTGGAATTGAAATCCAAATCAGGTATCTGTGAATTGTTTCAATTATAAGAGGGGTTAATTTAATAGTCTCAATAGTCTCACTGAATATTTCATCTCTGTTGCAGAATGTTGCTGATCAATATTACACAATAATATTAGGATCAGCCCTGCAAATTTTGCTATTTACCTGGTAGCTATAAACCAAGTCTGCTGCATATCAAGAAACAAAAACAGAACTTTCTTATTCAAAGGAACATCCCATGGGTTATTCCTTATGGACTGCTGTGTTCTTTAAAGGCCATCCTCCAATTGTCACCATAGTGTGAATGGCAAAATCACCACAGATTTAAATGGGAGTAGGATTGGGCCCTGCATATTTGTTTACTGAAATATTTCTCTCATATGTGTAAATAATTTACAATTTTATCTCAATAAGAAAAGTTCCCACTCAAAATATCCCAGGCATATTTAGAACTTATTGGAGGAAAAAAGCAGTAGGGTTTGAAAGACTGATAGATCATCATCAATTAGGACTCTTTAAACACCATAATATTCCATTAGACATTAAGAAAATAAGCTTGAGTTTCAGCTTGATTTCTTGCAACTTGATTTTCTTACAAAATATTTACAAATATTGGTATGATACATGATCACAATTTTCATATAGAATAGATCCCCCTGTAAATCATTTACTCACTTCCTTACACCACTGAATTTGTATTATTTTATCCTGAAAATAATATTGTTTCGAAGCTCTGCACGCAGGTATGTATAAGAAACAGTGCAAGTAATTAAAAAGAGATGAGGACCCTATGCTTTGGGAAGTATGTGGGGGAAGAAGGCAATGCCATGAGCATTTCTGAAAATTAGAAGAGGAGATGCCATAGTGTTATTCTGACCCCTGAAGGATGGAAGCAGGAGTTTACTTCACATCCATTTCCCTCCCCCCCAATTGCTCAGAATACTCTATTAATGTCAACCCCTAAACTACACTAATAAAGTCTTCTAATGTCTTCTCAGGCTTGCCACAAAGAATTATAAATATAGTCATGAACTAATGGCAAACCAACTTTAAAATACTGCTGTTTGGAGTAGATCTACAGGAATGATTTTCTAATCTGGTGCTAAAAGCTTTGCAAAGTTACTGTGAGGTAGCTAGTGTATTACAACTGGCAAACACAGTAGGACTGTGGAGATCAGGTTTATCAAGAAATGCAAAACCTCCTCTCCTCTCACCTCTTCCTAACTGAGAAGCTATTTAGCCAATTCTGGCTAGGCTGAATCCAGAGTGAAGTGGGAAAGGAGCAAACAGGTGATACGATCTTTCATTTCAGCTGAGTTAAGATTTCATCAGGTTTGTATTAAAAAAAAAATGTCCCTGAAAACCGCTTAGAGACATGGGGCCTCAACAACTCTTTTACAAGCTTGTCAGGTTTAGAAGAGTAACTTTTCTTTGTGAGCACAGATAGATATGGTGATTTGAGTCTACAATACATATCAATACACAATTACTTTTTTGTGCTCATTTCAATAAAAAAGTCATTTTTCTATGTCGTTCTGAAAGGGACTACTGCCTACACCTCTACCCCCTCTCCTGCTTTTCAGATGTATTTTAAAAAGTTGTTCATGAATTACCGCATGTATGAGATTTAGATAATTTAAGGGCTGTGTGTGTTTTTTTAAAGGTAACAGGTAGACTGGTATATTTTATCTGAAGATAATTCCCCACCCCCTCCTTGCTGATGTTGCACACATCTCTAGAATGTATCATCATGCTGCTAAAGAAAAAGCTCATATAAGCAGACAGCAATATCCATTTCAATAACTGCCAATACAAGAGTGAAACAATCATCAGTTCTACCTTCAACACTAAAGGGAGAGTTGGAGGGGGACACATTTTTATCTTGAGAGAGGAGCACAGTTTTAGTGTTACTTGAGCGCTCCTTCCACTCAGCTGCTGACATGTATTTAAATCACAGGTTACATTGTGACCCCTTGTTGAGAGATTCAGGCTGGTCTGTTCAATGGGACCATTGTGCAATATTGCGGGGATTTTATGTGGCTTTCTCCACGGGTGTGGCTGAGTTGGCAACTATGTAGCCTGACGCTTGTGTGAAGCCACTGTCCCAGGGAAACTCCGCTGCGAGGAAGACTCATGTTCATTCCATCCCACAAAAGGCGAAACGTTTAACTGGAGCCGAACAAGAGATCGCCCCCAGCTCTCTCCCTCTCCATTCCCAGCTGGCAGGAGCATTCCAAAGTTAACACAAAAGTAACTGATAAACAGTGTGCTTGCACTATTACACTGTCGCCGACTGATGTCACTGATAGAACCGAGTTACATAATCATCGATTATGCACAAATATACTCGCCTTCTTACAGATACATCTGCATATCTTCTGCCATCCATTATGCATGAACCCACCAGCAGTACATGGGGGCATATATTTTCGCACACACTATATAACTTTAGCATTGCAGTGCATTGCATTGTACAACGTCATCACTATTGATTCTCTCACCTCCCCCAGTCCCTCTATCAATTTTGATTTTGCAGAGAAAGATTAAACAAGGTGCATTGCTCGGGGCTTTTTTCCCCCCTTGCCCTTTTGTTTTTAAATTGATCTCATTCCCTTTTTTTGTTTGGCTGGGGGTTTATTTAAAGGGATGTTCTCTTTCATCACAGTTAATAGAAGTAATTGATTTAGACAATTCCCTAGCCAGCTGCATATATATGTGGGCAATCCTGAAGCTATGATCTCTGTTGCAGATCTGCAACTCCTTTGCACGTGGGGCTCAGGTTTCAGTGGGTAAGTTACTGGGTGAAAAGATATTTTATAAAATCAGGTGGACCAGCGATTTTTAGGCTAGTGGCATTTCAGATTTTTATATTCGTAATTGTGCCCCCCCCCCCACCATTTTCCAATTTGCAATTTTCTTGATGAATTTACAGTAACAGTTGTAATCCCAAATAAACAGTGACATTCACCCGTTAGAAACAGAGCCCTGTAGCATAATTAATAAGCATTGTCACCTAAAGTTGAACTTGAAAAAAAGAGGTTTCTCTACCTCCATTGCAGCTATGAAATGCAGCAGACTGCTGCACAGAGTTGCACACATTTGTTTTAACGGACGGAGGGGAACCGATTTTGTGTTAAATAGATACTATCACTTAGTCCTCCTTTTACTGCCATATAGTCTTTCCAGCCATACATAATAAATCCAGAGAAAGCCTGTTCGCCCAGAACGCAT